GTTCTCTGAGTCTTATTCTCCGGAATAGCTTAATATATATATATAGGCCTATATCTATATATATATAATAATAATAATCAGTTTAGTGTGAAATGTGACATTGATGTCACATTTCACACTAAACTGATTATTATTATTATATATATATAGATATAGGCCTATATATATATATTAAGCTATTCCGGAGAATAAGACTCAGAGAACCATTTTCAAATAGAATGATGTAACTCTGGGGACAATTTAAATTACAGGAGGAACATTAAGTTCACTGAGAATTAGTATGTTATTGTGGATGTCATTTTTACTTGGTGCGGTAATCATGGTCAGAATGGGATTCAAATCACTGAACAGGTTACATTTACCAGACTTACCTCAAAAAATGAATCCTGTCCGAATAGGGCTTAAAGGTGGGGTAGGTAAGTTTGAGAAACCGGCTCGAGATACACTTTTTGTTATATTCCATGGAATGCTCTTAACATCCCGATAGCAATGAATATCTGAAGTGCTTTGACAAAAAATCCATAAAAAAAATGTCATCTGTGGAAGCCGTAGTACTGTAAAAAGCACGACCAATCATTTTAGCCGGCCCGGCTAAAATAACTGGATGGCCTACCTGCCTGTCAGCCTTCCATCTGTGCACAAACTTATCTCGTGCCCTCATTGGTCAGGTGCGCGTTGGTGTGTGTTGGAGGAGGGGCTCTGTAAGGAAGTGGCAGATTTTTTCCGGCTGTGTATTTTCAAATTCTAGCGCACTCAAGTTGGTTTCTCCAAAATTACCTACCCCACCTTTAAGAGATTTCCTTAAACACAATAATTTCGAAGTGTATTAAAGGATCGGCAAATTCTGACAGATTACAGGTACACAAGGCATCTTCAATACTTCAACTGGCAGAAGTTCGAAGATTACACAATGTATACATTCCACAGTGCATAACAAAATAGTTCAGAAATACGTACCGGTACATTTATTTTTTTATTTATATTCTACTTTATGTTTTGGTTATCACACTTAAATCATCCAATTGATTTGAATAAAGAGTATGTTCCTATTGCATTTAAGTGGTAGTATAGTGAAAAGCACTCTGATTAATGTTTGTCCCTGTAGCTTATTTCTTTTTACGACCGCCAATAGCCAATAAAAAACAGCAAAGAGTAATTAAGAAGATTTGAGATTCACGTAACAGCACAGAACATGCAGAAGAGAGAAACACTTTTCATTTAGTGAAACATCCATTTAACTTCAACTAGCAATATTGGCTGCAATTTGTTTCCATTCTGTTCATTGTGAAAACTTAATGGAAACAATCCATCTCCTAAGAGGCACTTGCCTGGTTTCTCTGGCAGACTGTAGATCCCCATGGCAGCTCATTTCAGAGGGTCTCTGCCTTCAAATAGTGAAAATGTTTAACATGAAGGCAGAAAAAAGACATGACCATATTTTTTCAGGGAGAACTTACTTGACTTTGGGAAGACAGTTAAGTAAAGGCTGATGGGTGTTTATAAAGTTAATGTCGGAGAGGCTATCAGGACTTTTCTCTTCACATCCTTTAGGCTGCCTCCATATGGTACTGGAGTGACTTTCACAATTCATACTTCACACATCTTACTTCATCTTCCTGTAATGGCTCTCCGGGAGCAAAGCTGTGCTGATGATAATCTTGCCAGATGGTGGAAGCAGTAAAGCAGTAGAAGCAGCTTCTCTTCTTCATTTAAATATCACTTTCTCAACAGGGAGTGTAGCATTGGGATGGGGAGTCTACACAAAATGTACACGGTAAATGATAACCTAGGCTTGAGTCATTTGTTCCTGTCATGTGAATGCTGCCTTCAAATTCCAGCAAATGAAAAGAAAAGAAAATGCTTGATTTTGATCTGTTTTCAATGTTTTGAGTCTAATGCAATTTAGCTGGCATGTCCTGAGATATTCAATCTTCTCCGACTATTGATTGATATGGAAGAAGGAAGAAATATGTGTGACCTAAATGTTTAAAACATATATTATATATCATCCTTAAGTGAGCCTTGACTGAATGTCTGATCTGTGTCTAATAACATGCATCAAATGAACATGTTATGTCTCAGGGATGAAAACCTTAGATGAGCTTATTATTCATGAGGGTATGTCTTAATAAATGATGCCCTCACATTAACATTAATAAGAACCTTGCAGGTGGCAGAGAGAGGGAGAGATGTCCATCGCTGTGTTCAGTATCAAGCTTCAGGATACTCGAGGAATAACTACTGTAGATGAAAATGCAGGCATATAGCAGTATATTGTATTTAATATACAACATTCTGCGAGTGGGAATATTCAAGAGCTACTTGTGTTATTTTATTTTTATTTTTTAATTTGCACTTGTCATACTTGCAAAGAAGAAAAATGTTATAAGTGTTCTCTGGGTATTGTGCAGGATACAGGCATGTATCAAGCTCCTGTGGATAGCTATTCATAACAATATCAAGAGGTCAGACGCCAAGAACACTCTGGCATTAAATTATTCCTGTGCATGAACGGCAATCACTTGGTTTGTTGCCATGGAAATGTGGCATGTCATGGCTACTCATATTGCTCAGGATGGGGAAAAGAAACGTCACCTTTTGCTCGCTATCTATGACAATAGAGATTTTAAGGACACCCTATTATGTTCTGTGCACACAGAAAAAGATTACATTCTGCTCCAACTCATCAGAAAGGTGACAAAGAAAGTTTCTCTACACAACCAAGGAACAGAATAATATGTTTTATAAGTATTCATAAGTCAGTGGCATATTCACTGTGTCTCTCCCTGGAGGAATAGAAGTCTGTGGAAATAGACCATAAAACCACAAAAGCAGCCAATTCCCCCCCCCCCCTCTCTTTTGCTTTAAAAACCCCGTTCCCTAATATACATCAGTCTCTACGTTTCCCACGGACAACCTCATTAGAAGAGAGGAGCAGACAAGCAGACTTCCATCTGTCTCCCAGTATACTAGTTTCATGAGCTTTTACTGTGTGTGCTCCACCAATCGCAAGACATGGCTATATTTTGTATTCAGAGCAACATCATCCCCTGGGGGAAAATCTACTTACTGTACATACTCTGAAATATAAAAGTATTTGTGTTCCAACACGGCATGTAGTATCAGCATATGGCCCATCACTGTACTTAACTCAAGGTGTACTTGAGAACAGACTCGGCGTCTTTAATCGAGGACATTTTGACTTTTGAGTCCATTTCTCTCAGTCAAATGCACTGAATTAGAGACAGCAAGCACCTCTCAGGCCTGTCTTTAGATGCATTCACATGAAAATCGGTGAAATGGCTCTGTTGCTGATTTGTTTCTATGAAGAGAGAGGTGTCACTCGACGCAATCGATACCCTCCATTGCAATCCTAGGAACACAACTTTCTGTTTTCACCCATACAATCTATGTAAGAAGGGTAAGGGCGCCCATCCTCTTGGTGAGCAAAGAGCAAATGTTTTCCCAAATCAGACGATGATCCTCTGTCGCTGCTACCTGACAAAGAGGCAAGTTACATCAGTAGTATATGCTTATACTTACTGATGTAACCTGCCTCACTTACTGCACAGCACCATGTGTACACTTGTTTTAAATGATAGATGAACTCACATTTTACAAACAGTTTCCTATTCATGAAATCTAGCAGGCAAAACAAAGTGTTTATTTGGAGTTTTATTTCTGGCCATCTGGTAAATGTGAGATATCACACTCCTTTTAGTTTAGTGGGAATGCTGTTAACAGCATTCCAACTATCTGTTCTTCTACGCCAACACATTCTCACTCCCAACCCGTCACATATTGACGGACGGTCAGGGCCCCTCCCCGTCACTCTATTACGTACAGGGTACCCCTTGGAAGTCAGTTTTCAACGGGCAGGGCGTCCCATAGACCTTCATAGACCTCCCATAGCGTTGATAATAGACGCCATGAGAACGCTCCCCCGCAAATGCTACCCCGACGGTCGGATTGTCAATATTCATATAATAATTATTTATTTTGTTATAGTCACACTCGATTTTGCCGATTTTCTTGTTGCCCCAGCTGGTCGACACCTCTTTTAGCAGAAATAAAGTCTACATTAATGTATTAAATCGATGTTAATCCATGTGTGTGGTTGTGGAATTAATGGACGTGCCGTTGTGCGATTGCGCAACGCAATAATTTACAAACTCTTCAACTACAACCCTAATTATATTTAAAAACATTTTAGAAGGCCTCACAAAATACTTTAATGTACATTTAAATTGAAATGTGAAGGGATGTGTGTAATGTGGTGATTATTATTCAGCCAAGGCTCTATGGGTTGGGGTATTGTTGCGCACGGACATTATAGTTAACCGGACTTCCTGTTGATTTGAAATCCGGAGGCAACAAGCGTATCGCGAGCCCGAAGTTTTGGCGACTAACATAAGCAACTATACTGTTGTGCATGCGAAAACCATACAATATAACATCCTTAATCGTTGGATTCTATCCAAAGTACTCATGGGTCCAAAGAAAACCATGGGCGGGGGCATGCGGAGGGGTCGAGGACATTAAAAAGTCCGGCTCCCCCGACTTCCTGGCGGAGGACATTTCTGGCCTGTCAGGTTGCAGTAGAAAAACATTGAGAAGGAACAAGAGGATAACTTAA